TGCTGGTGCTGCTGCTCCTGGTGGTGGTGGCCGTGGTTGAGGTTGTGGTTGTAGCCGTGAAGGGGGCCGGTGGGCCAGCCGCCGTCCGAGGCGGCCGGCGACAGGGGGAGCCACACCTTCATGCCGGAGCGGCCGCAGCCTAACCACAGCACCTCTGTGGCCGGGCCATGCTGCTGCTGCTGCTGCTGCGGTTGATGTGGTTGTGACCTGGGAGCGGAGTGCCCGGTCGTCCACGTGATCTCCACGCACTCGGCGAGGACCACCGGCGCGCAGAACGACGGCTACGCGGGCGGCAAATGGGGGACGAGACGCCGGCGACACACGGAGACAAGAGTCAATGGTGGGATTGGGGCGACGCCTATCGATGGGGAGGTACGCGTAAGGAGTCAGGAGGGGCAAGGATCAGTGACCGGTTCGGGGCAGGTTAGGGATGGATTAGGGTATTGTTAGTGACCGGCTAGGGGCAGGTTAGGGATGGATTAGGGTATTGTTAGTGACCGGCTAGGGGCAGGTTAGGGATGGATTAGGGTATTGTTAGTGACCGGCTAGGGGCAGGTTAAGGATGGATCAGGGTATTGTTAGTGAGCGGTTAGGGGCAGGTTAAGGATGGATTAGGGTATTGTTAGTGAGCGGTTAGGGGTAGAGTAAGGAATGTGTAGAGGGAGGACGTGCATTAGTAACGGTGGGTTAGAGATTAGAGCGAGCGTTACCAGGAGTGTCAGGGTGGGAAAGGCAGCTTTGTTCAGGGGTGGAAGTCAGCGGGGGAGGGGGTGGTGGGAGGGACGGGGAGGGGGGGATGGCGGCTGGGGGAGGGGGGGTGATTCGCCAGCGGGTGCGTGCGATGCCACGGTGGATGATTCGCCAGCGGGTACGTACGTTCTTGCGTGCGAGGGACGCTGCCGAGGAGGTGGATGAGGAGGTGGATGAGGAGGTGGGATCGTCGCTCACGTCCAGGGGCTGCGGCCCCGAGCGATCTCTCTGCAGCATGAGCAGCTGCCCGGCGACGTTCAGCAGCACGCTGTCTCCCGCACACGCCTACAGAGACAAAGATTACCCCTCCCGTAGCTGTCGAGTCTGTTGGGGCAAGTGCTGTTAGCGAGTAGCAGAACCTACGACGGCCGACGCTACGCACGTTCGGGCCGCCTTTGTGTCCCCAGTGGCGATGTTTACACGATGCACCAAGTACTCATTTGAGGCCTAGCCGACTTAGGGAAGGCCCAGGAACGCTTAAAACAATCGTCACTGGTGTCGGCCGCGAGCTTGGGGCAGCCGGGTTCGTAGCGCAGCGTCGCGCTAACCGCTACACTACCGCTTCCCACACACACACAGACGTACACAAACACACGGACACGCACAGAGGCAAAGACACACACACGGGGGCGACACGCGCGCGGGACACGGGGACTACACCACACCCACCTGCTGTGCGGGCCTCAGGGAGGAGAGCGTCTTCTCAGAGCGCATGCTGGTGAGGGCCACCGACACCACGAGGCCCGGGTGGGGCACGTGGGCCTGCAGGGAGACCCTCTGCAGGGCGCGCAGCGTCACGCCGGGGTGCGGCCTGCAGCCACGCGCAACCCACGAGCAACCACACGCAACCCATGAGCAACCACACGCAAGCCACGAGCAACCACACGCAACCCACGAGCAACCACACGCAACCCACGAGCAACCATGAGATGCAGTAAATAACCACCGTCACGTTTTGGCGTGCCGCCTGCAGCCACAACCCAAGCGCAGCCCACGCGCAATCCACGCACGGACCAGAGCAAACAATCCACCCCCCCACCTCCCCGCCCACCCCCCTCCTCCCCCGCCCCCCACCTCCCCGCCCGCCCCCCCACCTCCCCGCCCGCCCCCCACCTCCCCGCCCGCCCCCACCTCCCCGCCCGCCCCCCACCTCCCGCCCGCCCGCCCCCCACCTCCCCGCCCGCCCCCCTCCTCCCCGCCCGCCCCCCACCTCCCCGCCCGCCCCCGCTCACACGTCGAGGGGGCTGCGCTCCACGCTGTAGACGTGGAGCTGCCGGTCGGAGCAGAAGAGGAGGAGGCGCCCGCGGGAGCCGCCCAGCAGCAGCGGCGGCGCCGGCAGCCGCTGCACGTGGGCGTGCGCGTTGTCCAGGTTGGAGGCGCGCGGATACACACGCAGCTGCGAGGGGGGGGAGGGGGTATCGGTGAGGGGGGGGCGAGGGGCGGGCGGGTCAAATGCAGGGGTCAGACAGTGTAGGGGTTGGTGTGCCGCGCTGCAGAACTCGGCGACCCCGAGTTCCATTCCCGCTCGCGGCCACTAACACCGGTGACGATTATCTGAACCGGCGCTGGGCCTCCCCCCCTAGGTCGACTCGGCCTCAAATAAGTACCTGGCACGGTGTGTACAAAGATCCGCACTTGGGCGTGGTGCCAGTCACCCCACCCACCCCCTCGTGTGGCCGCATTGTCCTTCATAGGTGCTGCGATTACTCGCTAACAGCACTTGCCCACTCAGTATGTTAAGGCTATACGGGAGAGCTTTGCATGTGTACAGAGGTGGGTGTGCGCATGTATAGAGGTTCGTGTGTGCGTGTGTATAGAGGTGTCGGTGCGTGGTGCCACCCACCCCCTCGCGTGGCCGCATTGTCCTTCATAGGTGCCTGCTACTCGCGAAAAGCACTTGCCCCCAAGGGTCTGTTAAGGCTACACGGGGGGATCTTTTGTCTTTGTCGAGGCTCACCTCGTCCTGCCCCTCGGCAAGGTTGTGGCAGGCGGCCACGATGAAGTCCTCCCACCACACCAGGCCGCCCGTCACCGCCATGCTTTGCTCCTACAGGAGGAACCGCGACCCATCACCGCCCGCACCGCCACCATCACCACAGCCACCATCACCACAGCCACCGCCACCATCGCCACAGCCACCGCCACCACAGCCACCGCCACCATCACCACAGCCACCGCCACCATCACCACAGCCCCCGCCACCATCACCACAGCCACCGCCACCATCACCACAGCCACCGCCACCATCACCACAGCCACCGCCACCATCACCACAGCCACCGCCACCATCACCACAGCCACCGCCACCATCACCACAGCCAACGCCACCATCACCACAGCCACCGCCACCATCACCATCACCACAGCCACCGCCACCATCACCACAGCCACCGCCACCATCACCACAGCCACCGCCACCATCACCACAGCCATCGCCACCATCACCACAGCCACCGCCACCATCACCACAGCCACCGCCACCATCACCACAGCCAACGCCACCATCACCACAGCCACCGCCACCATCACCATCACCACAGCCACCGCCACCATCACCACAGCCACCGCCACCATCACCACAGCCACCGCCACCATCACCACAGCCATCGCCACCATCACCACAGCCATCGCCACCATCACCACGGCCAACGCCACCATCACCACAGCCGCCGCCACCATCACCACAGCCACCGCCACCATCACCATCACCACAGCCACCGCCACCATCACCACAGCCACCGCCACCATCACCACAGCCACCGCCACCATCACCACAGCCATCGCCACCATCACCACAGCCAACGCCACCATCACCACAGCCACCGCCACCATCACCACGGCCACCGCCACCATCACCACGGCCAACGCCACCATCACCACAGCCACCGCCACCATCACCACAGCCACCATCACCACAGCCACCGCCACCATCACCACAGCCACCGCCACCATCACCACAGCCACCGCCACCATCGCCACAGCCACCGCCACCATCACCACAGCCACCGCCACCATCACCACAGCCACCGCCACCATCACCACAGCCACCGCCACCATCACCACAGCAACCGCCACCATCACCACAGCAACCGCCACCCATCACCACAGCCACCGCCACCATCACCACAGCCACCGCCACCATCACCACAGCAACCGCCACCATCACAACAGCCACCCCACCACCACCTGCACAGCTACTACCACCGCCATCCGCACCAACACCACCACCGCCATCCGCACCAACACCACCACCCGCACCACCACCACCACCACCTGCAGCACAACCACCACCACACTATCATCACCATCTGCACCACCACTAGGACTACCACTAACTACCAACAGCAGCAACAGCCGCCAGTCGGCACTAAGTGGTGGTGACGTCACCGCGGCGCACGTGCCAAGCTAGGTGCACTCCGAGGCTATCGTGTGAAGTGTCGAAGGCTCGCTGGCTGGTAGGACGTCACAGGACAGACCCAGCAGGTGTCATGGGCTGACCGACCGAGATGACCGGCAGATGGACCACCACCTGTGCCCCCTTACTGTGCCAACAAGAGACCAACTACCACCACCAGCAGCACTTGCTAGCACTATACCACCACCAGCAATATTACCACTATCAATACTAGCACACAACCACCACCATCACCACGAACGCCATCATCGTTACCAGCACCGCCAGCACTTGGGCAGACGAAGCGTGGACTCCCGGCGACGCGTTACCCCGGCGGGCGCGGTTACCGTGGCAGCGAGGCTAACCTGGGTGATGTTGCCGAAGAGCTTCCACTTGCGGGTGTAGAGCGAGTAGTGGGCGAGTCCGGCACGGCCCGACACGGCCACGCACTGGCCCTGGGCGTCCATAGCGGCGTGCTGTCACCACGGCACGGGCGCGCACGGCATTACCACACGGCACTGACGCAGTCTCACGGCATGGCAATCTTGCGGCATAGCACAACAGAGATGTGGTGCGTGTGTGTGTGTGGTGCGCGTGGATTGTGTGGTGTGGTGCGTGTGTGTGGTGCGCGTGGACAGTGTGGTGTGGTGCGTGTGGTAAGTGTGCCGAGCTGGCGTTCACAAGTGCTACTCGCTAACAACAGTCTGTTAAGGAAGGCAATACGGGGGACCCTGCGGTGCGTTTGCGGTGCGTGTGGTGTATGCGGTGCACATGTGTGGTGTGTGTAGTGTATGGTGTGTAATGTGTGGTGCGTGTGCTGTATGCGGTGCATTTTCTGTGGTGCGTGGTGCGTATGCGGTGCATGTGTGTGGTGCGTGTGGGGTGTGTGTAGTGCGTGGTGTGTATGCGATGCGTGTGGTACGTGTGTGTGATAAGTGTGGTGCGTGGTGTATATGCAGTGCGTTGGTGCGTGTGGTGTTGGTGTGGTGTGTGTGTGTGGTGCGGTGTGTATGCGGTGCGTGTGGGGTGTGTGTAGTGCGTGGTATGTATGCGATGCGTGTGGTGCATGGTGTGTGGTGCGGTGTGTATGCGGTGCGTGTGTGTGGGGTGTGTGTGTGTGTGTGGGGTGTGTGTGTGTGGTGCGTGGTGTGTATGCGGTGCGTGTGTGTGGGGTGTGTGTGTGTGTGTGGGGTGTGTGTGTATGCGGTGTGTGTATGCGGTGTGTGTATGCGGTGCGTGTGTGTGGGGTGTGTGTAGTGCGTGGAGCGTGCTTATAGTAGCCACTCACCCGAATGGGCCAGTTGTTGTCCAGGTAAGAGTTGTGGATCTGAGAGGCGACACGCACGCACAGACAAGAAGGGTCGCCCGTTACAGCCTTCAAACAGACGGTTGTGGGGTCTGTGCGCGTGTGGAACTTCGTTCACGAGTGGCGAAGCGTCGTGAAAGGTGGTGCATCGTAGTGGTCCACGTTCATGCAGATTGGATTGTGGTGGTTTACGGTAGAATATGGTGGATCATGGTGGAGCGTGGTTGAAAGGTGTTGGATCATGGTGGGGTGTCATGGTTCACGGTGGAGCATGGTGGAGCGTCGTGAAAGTTGAAGCATCATTGTGTAGCATGGTGGATCACGGTGGAGCGACGTGAAAGGTGGAGCGTAGCGGCGGTGTAGTGGATGCGTGGCTGCACCCCCCGGCGTCCACCGCCCCCTCACCTGCACTATGTGCCAGTGTCTGTGTCCCAGTAGGAAGGGGGGGCTTGGAGTGTGAGGCCTGGACGTGGGGGGCTCTCCACAGCTCAGGTAGAGCCGATCGTCGCCCTGCAGCAACACCTGCTCCTGATTGCTCTTTGGTGGAGGGAGGGGAATGGGGGAAGAAAGGTAGGGGGTGGGGAGAGGTGGGTTGTGGGTAGGTAGGGAGGGGGCAGAATTTCAACGATTTAAAACACATTTTTTTTTTTAACCAGGTAAGGTCTCTCTCTCTCTCTCTCTCTCCCCGTGGTCGCGTGGATTTTTTTCCCTCCGGGATCCTCCGGTGTTTCCCCCCTCCACATTTACAGAATCAACGCGTTTTAGAGTTACGAGGCCGCTGCTATAAATTCCCACAAGATAATGATGATAATGATATAGTTAAAAAAATTTACCCGTAAAAACAAAGTTTTTCACTATAAATCCTTTATATGCGTGGTGGCTAGAGTCCTCTCGTCCTCTGGCTTGAGATGGCTGCCACCTATGGGGCAGATGATTGCATGCCACCATTAAGCAATTGGTAATTAAATTTTTTTTTTTTTTTCCTAAAAAGTGTAACATTTAGGAAAAACATTTTCACGAAAATTAATTGTCACGCACAACGAGTCTGTGTGCAAAATGTCAGCTCGATTGGATCACGGGAAGTGGGTTAAAAAACGACTGAAAGATTTGCACGGTCGTAAGCAAGCAAGCAAGCAAGTGAACTTAATATAAAGGATTTAAAAAAAGTTTTGGCTTATGACGACAATGACGACAGCGACAAGGTGACGACTGTGACTCACCACACACGGGTGCAGGGCCAGCGCACTCTTCACAAAGTGCAGGATCAGCAGCTCCGCCTGGTACCCACAATCCTCTTTACTTCCTGCCCCGTCGCTGACGTCACTTCCTGCGTCAGGGGGCGGCGTGAGCACCCACAGGGTGTAACCCTCAGGGCCCCAGCTCTGCAAGATCGCCGTCATCGGCAACATCGTCATCATAATCAGCAACATCATCAGCAACATCATCATCAACAACATCATCATCATTTTTAACAGATAAGGCCTACCGAGCTAAAATAGCTCTTTTTCAGAAGCGATCTGGCTATCACAAATGATATCTCCACGAAGCGGCTCATCGTCACGTGGAAATTTATAGCAGCCAAATACTCTGAGCGCACGTCAATTCTAAATGTGGAAGGAAAAATCCACGCGACCACAGGAAAAGAGACACGCAAACTCCAAATATACAGCAGCAGGCATCGTCAGGGTCGGGATCGAACCCATGACCTCCTGTACACCAGGCGAGGTAGTTAACATCTCCTAGCCACCGTGATGATGATGATAAGAGACACGCAAACTCCAAATATACAGCAGCAGGCATTGTCAGGGTCGGGATCGAACCCATGACCTCCTGTATACCACGCGAGGTAGTTAACATCTCCTAGCCACCGTGATGATGATGATAAGAGACACGCAAACTCCAAATATACAGCAGCAGGCATTGTCAGGGTCGGGATCGAACCCATGACCTCCTGTATACCACGCGAGGTAGTTAACATCTCCTAGCCACCGTGATGATGATGAGAGAGAGAGACACGCAAACTCCAAATATACAGCAGCAGGCATTGTCAGGGTCGGGATCGAACCCACGACATCCTATACACCAGGCGAGGTAGTTAACATCTCCTAGCCACCATGATGATGATAATAAGAGACACGCAAACTCCAAATATACAGTAGGCATTGTCAGGGTCGGGATCGAACCCATGACCTCCTGTATACCACGCGAGGTAGTTAACATCTCCTAGCCACCGTGATGATGATAAGAGACACGCAAACTCCAAATATACAGCAGCAGGCATTGTCAGGGTCGGGATCGAACCCATGACCTCCTGTATACCACGCGAGGTAGTTAACATCTCCTAGCCACCGTGATGATGATGAGAGAGAGACACGCAAACTCCAAATATACAGCAGCAGGCATTGTCAGGGTCGGGATCGAACCCACGACATCCTATACACCAGGCGAGGTAGTTAACATCTCCTAGCCACCATGATGATGATAATAAGAGACACGCAAACTCCAAATATACAGTAGGCATTGTCAGGGTCGGGATCGAACCCATGACCTCCTGTATACCACGCGAGGTAGTTAACATCTCCTAGCCACCGTGATGATGATAAGAGACACGCAAACTCCAAATATACAGCAGCAGGCATTGTCAGGGTCGGGATCGAACCCATGACCTCCTGTATACCACGCGAGGTAGTTAACATCTCCTAGCCACCGTGATGATGATGATAAGAGACACGTAAACTCCAAATATACAGTAGGCATTGTCAGGGTCGGGATCGAACCCACGACCTCCTGTACACCAGGCGAAGTAGTTAACATCTTGCCACCAGGGAGCCTGGTGGCAAGAAAGTTGTTGTGGCTTGCGTTGGCCATGTCTGACTCACCATAGAGCTGATTTTTAATGGTTCTTTCCGGCTTCCATCGGGATGGAATCTACAAGACACAAACACAAGCATCATCACCACCACCACCAAAGATGAAGACAAAGATCCCCCGTGTAGCATTAACAGACTTGTTAGGGCAAGTGTTGTTAGCGAGTCGCTGGTACGGCGCCAGAGGGGGTGGGTGGCCAGCACAACAACAGGTACTCATTTTAGGCTGAGTTGACCTAGGGGAGGCCCAGGACCGGATTAGATAATCGTCACTGGTGTTGGCCATGAGCGGGAACCAATTCTGGGTCGCTGTGTTCGTAGCACAGCGCGCTAACCGCTGCACCACCACTCCCCACATCACCACCACCAAGACCACCATTATCAACATCGCAAACACCATGAAAATTGCTATCGTCAAAAGAAGTGACTTTGGCAGTATTGCCGATGGATTTAATTGTGGTGGTAGTGCTGGTGGTACTGGTAATGGTAACAATGCTGGCAGTGCTGGTAATGGTAACAGTGCTGGTGGTGGTGCTTCTGGTAGTGCTGCTGGTGGTGTTGGTAATGGTAACAGTGCTGGTAGTGCTGGCGGTAGTGCTAGTAGTACTTGTAGTGCTGGTGGTGCTGTTGGTAGTGCTAGTTGTGCTAGTAGTGCTGGTAGTGCTGCTGGTAGTGCTGGTGGTGGTGCTGGTGCTGGTGGTGCTGGTGGTGGTGGTGCTGGTAGTGCTGGTGGTGCTGCGGGTAGTGCTGCTGGTAGTGCTGTTGGTAGTGCTAGTTGTGCCAGTAGTGCTGCTTGTGGTGCTGGTAGTGTTGGTAATGCTGCTGGTGGTGCTGCTGCTGGTGCTGCTGGTGCTGCTGGTGCTGCTGGTGCTGCTGGTGGTGCTGCTGGTGGTGCTGGCGGTGCGGGAGGTGGTGTCGGGCAGCCCACCCGAAGTCGGCAGCGAGGGTGCACAGCAGCGGCGCTCCGAAGGCGCTCCACGCCGAGAGGCCTCCACGCTCCCAGCTCAGCACGAGCACCGTCCAGTCGGGACTCCAGCGCACGTTCTGCACGGCGCCCGTCCGCTTGCACATGTCTGTCCCATCCGCCACGACGCCGATGCCACCGCCACAGCCACACAAAGACAAAGATTCCCCCCCCCCCCCCGTATAGCTTTAACAGGCTGTTGGGGCAAGTGCTGTTAAAGCGAGCAGCAGCAGCAGCTAGGCTGGCACTGCGGCACACGAGAGGTTGTGGGTGGTCAGCACCACGTCCGGCCGCATTGGCCTCATCTGAGGCAGCCATTGCCACAACCGCACAAAGACCCCCTGTATAGTATTAACAGATTGTTTGAGCGAGTGCTGTGAGCGAGCGGCAGCAGCTGTGAAGGCCGGCACGGCACACGAGGCCGTAGGTGGGTGGGTGGCACCACGGCCGACCGGCCGCCTTTGTCTCCCCCAGTGGCAATGTTTTACTAAGCACTGCACCAGGTTACTCATTCGAGGCCGATTCGTCCTAGGGGAGGCCCAGGACCGGTTCAGGTGTTGGCCAAGAGCGGGGATTCGAACTCGGGTCTACGATGACTTAAGAGCTTTATTAGCTCATCGGATTCCACCTCTGGTTTCCAGTTTTAGTTTTTAAAATTCTGATTCTTGATTCCACGGCCCCAAGTGGACCAACAGGCCGCCAGGCACGGTTCAAGTTCAAGTTCATTTATTAGGTGTAGCCCTGTGAGCCATTCGGCTCTTGAATCGGGTGCAACCACAACAAACAAAAAACTAAAACATGAACAAGAAAACATCTTAAAGTGACTATGTGACTAAGTGCAAACATAAAATCCAAGAAAAGACAGAAAAATATTGCAGAAAAAAATCACCGTACACCAACGCTGTGTGCAAAAATCTCAGTGGGATGCAAGTCAAACAACAACAACAACCACAAGACTACTTAGATTAAGGCCATCAGTCTAACTCTGTACTACAACAAACAAACATGGCTAAACCAATACACTTTTCGCCCCCTTTCTCACCGGGGTAGTCTTTGGCCGTGAGCTCCAGCCGATGGGACAGCTGCAGCGCCCCGGCCACCGTGTCCATGGCGTAGACCAGCACGCAGCCACTGCAGCGCGCACAGACACAAAGGTGACCCCCCACCAACCTTCCATATAATCAAAACCAACCACCGCCACCACCACCACTCAACACTCACGTAAGGTTGGTTTAACACGTCGGTTGTTGCGACCAATATCCATAGCATAGGTTTTTTTTGGGTGATATCGCACTCAGACTGTAAATGTTGTGTAATTCCTCTCCAACACACTAGTGCTGTACTAGTAACGAATTGGCACGTTCCGTTCACGTGACAAACCTTACTAATTGGCCGTGTCGGGTGGTGGCGGGTTTAACGACAATTTATATATTTACGCGATCTAACCCAAAAAAAACTGTATCATGGATAAGTAATGTCGAATCGAGGTTTTTTTGGCTTCGACTGCGTAAGCTATAAATACTTCATTCAAACCACCACCAACTCAGGGATCTTCCGTGCTGGGTCTTTCCAACAAGGTGAACGACCCTTGGGACGAGCTTCGTGGACGATCGAACCCCAAGGTGACAGACCCGACGCAGAATCGGAGGTTGGCTGCTGCCAGAGGTCGCAAACGGATTTTGATTCCTTACCCGTACCCGGCCGCACCAGGATCGCAAATGGGTACCCGTACCCGGCCGGGTACAGGCACTCGTTCCCTACCCGTACCCGTAACCTACCCGTACCCTACCCGAAATGAGTGTCAAACGGTGACTCACCAGTGACCCACGGCCTACCCGTACCCGGCCGCACCAGGGTCGCAAATGGGTACCCGTACCCGGCCGGGTACGGGTAGCCGGGTATCGCGTAGGGTACGGGTATCGGGTACCCGGTTGCGACCTCTGGCTGCTGCTATGACGACGACTACGCCACCAGGGGGCGGCACGAGACCAGGCCGAGGGCCGTGACGTCACCTGCGGCAGCCGAAGGCGAGCAGGCGGTACTTGTTGTTGGCGGCCACACAGCTCCCGTCCGCCACGTCGGGCGCCCACACGCCCAGCACCTGCTGCTCGCACGGGACAGTTGACGGGAGAGTTGACGGGAGAGTTGACGGGACAGTTGACGGGAGAGTGAGCGAGCGGACGAAGCGGACGAGCAAACGATCGCAGCGGCGGGCAAAGCGAGCAGTTGAGCGCACGCGCAAGCTATTTGGGGTACAGTGAGCCGGCGGGGCAGGGACGGGGGCAGGTGGGCGAGCGGGCGACAACGACCGGGCGAGCGTGCGATAATCAATCGGGTCAAGCGAACGCGGACGGACAACCGAGCGGATGGGCGAGCGGATGGGCGAGCGGATGGGCGAGCGATGGGCGAGCGATGCCTCACGTCCGTGCAGGAGTCGGCGGCGGTGATGAAGCCGGCGCGTCCGTCGGAGAGGACCACCGCAAAGCCACCGAGCGTCTGGCAGAAGGCCATGTCCCGCACGCTCACTGGGCGCGGCGGCAGCGGCGCTCCTGGTTGCGGGAGAGACAAAGACGAAGGGGGGGGTGTCCCACCACCGTGTCGCCTGAACAGACCTTTCACGTCGCTCCACTGTGATCCACCATACTCCACCATGAACCACCACGATCCACCATGATCCACCATGATCCACCACACTCCACCATGAACCACCATACTCCACCATACTCCACCACGCTCCACTACACTCCACCATGATCCACCACACTCCACCATGATCCACCACGCTCCACCACACTCCACCACGATCCACCATACTCCACCACAATCCACCCAACAAGACCCTGGACCACCACGCTCCACCATGATCCACCATACTCCACCATGAACCACCACGATCCACCATGATCCACCATGATCCACCACACTCCACCACGATCCACCATGAACCACCATGATCCACCACACTCCACCATACTCCACCACGTTCCACCATACTCCACCACACTCCACCATACTCCACCACAATCCACCCAACAAGACCCTGGACCACCACGCTCCACCATGATCCACCACACTCCACCATACTCCACCATACTCCACCACAATCCACCCTACAAGACCCTAGACCACTACGCTCCACCATGATGCACCACCTTTCACGACGCTCCACCTCTCGTGAACAATGTTCCACACACACACACACGGGCGACCCTTCTGTGCGTGCGTGTCGCCTCTCAGATCCACGACTCTTACCTGGACAACAACTCGCTACTACAAGCACACACCACACACTACACACACCACGCACTACACACACCACATACACAGCACATACTCCACGCGCACACCAACTACAAAGATCCCCCGTGTAGCGTTAACAGACTGTTGGGGCAAGTGCTGTTAGCGAGTAGCAGCAGCACCAATGCAGGCCGGTACTGTGGCACACGAGGGGGTGGGTCGCCAGTACCACGCCCGGCCGTCTTTGTCTCCCCAGTGGCGATGTTTACTCCACACGTCACGCATTCATGAGCCTCTTTAAAGGCCATCTTGTGACATGGCCATCATGAGCCCGTTGATGGAGAGGTGGACACCCAGACCCAGGGCTCGAACTCAGTCTCTCAAATGTGCTGGTTTCAGCGACGATGCCAGTAAGCAGGTGACCCCGTGACCCCGCGAACCACCGCAACCCTCCATCATCGCCGAGCTCACCGGCAGCCGACTGGAGGTCGACCGCAAAGGGCACAGTGCAAAGGTCGAGCGCCTTCCTCCCATTGGTCAACCCGTCCCAGCGCAGATGGTGCAGCTTGCCATCCGTTGTCGTGGCAATGATGTCATCGGGCAGTGAGATGAGGCTATGAGGAGGGGAAGAGAGGGAGGAGAGGGAGGTAGGTGAGGGGGGTAGATGATCGATGAGGGAGGGAGGGAGAAGGGTTACAGAAGAGATAGGAGACATCTGGCCAGTGTGGAAGAGTAGGCCAAATACCCTCGAAGAAGAAAGGCTCTCTCTCGTACAGGCGTATCTGCCAGCAGGGGCGCAAGCGAGCAATTGCAGTGCTGTGTCCGTACCTTCACCTGCGCGTGCGCGCAGAGACATTTGTAACACACAGGGGTGCGTTAACAAACTAAAGCTGTTGAGTTGTTGTTGTTGTTGTCGTGATCGGAAAGGCCGGGCGGAGTGCCCCCGCCGAACCCGGACGCCCGCGCCGCGTGAAGCGGCAGCTGTGGCCGGAGGGTGAAGCCACTTCAGTCGAGAGAGAGCCTCTCAATCACTCACCCACTGCTCGATCCCCCGCGACTCTTGTGTACACATGTATGTTGAGCTTCGTACGGTGCGAACAAAGTTCACACCCTACGTAGCCAACTGCGCTAATCAGAGGAGAAGTGTTGAGTCTGTGGGCAGTGTTGAGTCTGTGAGCAGTGTTGAGTCTATGGGCAGTGTTGAGTCTATGGGCAGTGTTGAGTCTGTGAGCAGTGTTGAGTCTATGGGCAGTGTTGAGTCTATGGGCAGTGTTGAGTCTATGGGCAGTGTTGAGTCTATGGTGCAGTGTTGACTCTATGGGCAGTGTTGAGTCTATGGTGCAGTGTTGACTCTATGGGCAGTATTGAGTCTATGGGCAGTGTTGAGACTGAGCAGTGTTGAGTCTATGGGGCAGTGTTGAGTCTATGGGCAGTGTTGAGTCTATGGGCAGTGATGAGTCTATGGGCAGTGTTGAGTCTACGGTGCAGTGTTGACTCTATGGGCAGTATTGAGTCTATGGTGCAGTGCTGAGTCTATGGGCAGTGTTGAGTCTATGGTGCAGTGTTGAGTCTATGGGCAGTGTTGAGTCTATGGTGCAGTGTTGAGTCTATGGGCAGTATTGAGTCTATGGGCAGTGTTGAGTCTACGGGCAGTGTTGAGTCCACGGGCAGTGTTGAGTCTACGGGCAGTGTTGAGTCTACGGGCAGTATGTGTGTTGAACTTTTTTCGCATCATACGTAGCCAACCGTGCTGATCGGAGGTGCGGGGAAAGGAAGACAAACTAAAGACAAAAAGTAGTGAAAAGAAATGAGTTTAACACGTAGGCTTTCGCGACCAATATCATTCATAATACAGGTTTTTTTTGGGTTAGATCGCGTAAATATATAGATGTGTCATTAAACCCGCCACCATCCGACACAGCCAAACAAGTAAGGTTCGTCACGTAAACAGAACGTGCCAATTCATTACTAGTACAGCACACCGGTGTGTTGGAGAGCCAAGCCACAATATCTATTTACAATTTGAGTACGACGCTTCGACAAGAATTACAACTGGCTTCAGTAAAACTACAGTAAAACCTTGGATTGCGAGCATAATTCGTTCTGGAAATGTGTTTGTAATCCAAAGCCCTCGTATATCAGTTGTGATCACGTGACGCTTGGCAGACAAAGCTTATACGTACACTCGTATTGCAAGACCTCACTCGTTTATCAAATTAATATTTTTTTTTTTAAATGTCTCGTCTTGCAAAACACTCGCAGACCAAGTTACTCGCAATCCAAGGTTGTACTGTAGTTGTAATTACTGGCACGTTCTGTTCACGTAACAAACCTTACTAATTGGCTGTGTCGGGTGGTGGCGGGTTTAACGACGCATTTATATATTTACACGATCTAACCCAAAACAGCTGTATTATGAATAAAGAAATGAGTTTGTCAATCGAGATGGTTTAAAAGTGCATCATAGCTCCAGTGGCTTCCTAATCAGAAGGAAGAGCGTTCCAGACGGCCGCAGAAGCGCATGCAGTGACCATCTCTGTTCGATGGTCAGTCAAAGGCCAATGCTGCTACGAGGATGAACGACGTGCGCGTGATGATGGCTGATGCTCCTTGATGAGACCAGCAAGATACTGCGACTCATTTGTGGCAGGCAAATTATGAAAGGGGCTTTGATGTTGAAGGTGAGGCACATCTTGCGTTGATGGGTGTTAATGCCAATGGTGGCCTTGTTGCAATTGGTATTGACAGGTGGTGTTAAGTGTTGATGATGTTGCTGGTGACGGTAATGACGGTGGCGGTGTTGATGATGACGGTGGCGGTGTTGATGATGATGGTGCTGACGACGGTAATGACAGTGGCGGTGTTGATGAGGACGGTGGCGGTGTTGATGACGGTGCTGACGACAGTGTTGATGAGGACGGTGGCGGTGTTGATGATGACGGTGGCGGTGTTGATGATGACGGTGCTGACGACGGTAATGACAGTGGCGGTGTTGATGAGGACGGTGGCGGTGTTGATGATGACGGTGGCGATTGTGATGAGGACGGTGGCGGTGTTGATGATGACGGTGCTGACGACGGTGTTGACGGTGGCGGTGTTGATGATGACGGTGGCGGTGTTGATGATGATGGTGGCGGTGTTGATGATGGCGGTGGACGCACCAGGAGATGGAGGCCTGGATGTCGAGCACACGGCCGAGCTCCAGGGACAGCGCCGGCACGCGCTGCTCGTCCTTGTAGCCCGGGACGCCCCTCCGCACCGGGCTGCCCCTGCCGGAATCACAAAGACAAAGGTTCCCACCGTATAGCCTTGAACAGACTGTTGGGGCAAGTGCCGTTAGCGAGGAGCACCTATGGAGGCCGACACGGCACACGACGGGGTGGGTGGCCAGCACCACGCCCGGCAACCCGATGTCTCCCCCTCGCCATGGCGATGTTTACACATCACACCAGGTACTCATTGAGGCTGAGTCGACCTAGGGGAGGCTCCAGGTTCGGAAAATTAATCGTCACCGATGTTGGCCGTGAGCGGGAATCAGACTCGGGTCACCGGGTTGGTAGTGAAGTCTGCTCACCAGTGTGTCACCGCTCCCCACACTCACAGACAGATACACAAACACACACTCAGGGCACACAACAACAAGAACCCCCACTTAGCAGACTGTTGGGGCTGTTCGCGAGTAGCACCTATGAAGAATGGCACGGCACATGAGGGGATGGGTGACCAGTACCACGCCCGGCCGCCATTGTCTCTCTCGTGGCAATGCTTTTTACACTGCACCACACACACACAATCAGCTCACACACACGCCTACACACACACACAATCAGCTCACACACACGCCTACACACACACGCACACAGACCTGTGGTCGACAGCCAGGTAGAGGCTGTTCTCCTCCCCTCCCACCAGCAGCACGTCGAACAGCAGCACATAGCCCCGTCCCGTCTGCAGCAGAGCGCACAGAGTACACACAAAGCGCACACACACAGCACACAGACCACACACACAGACGGCATACCGGCACAGCACACACACAGCACACAGACCACACACACAGCACACAGACCACACACACAGCACACAGACCACACACACAGCACACAGACCACACACACAAACGGCATACCGGCACAGCACACACGCAGCACACAAGAGATGTCAATACGATTACAATGTGGATCGCAGGGCAACCTAAACGCAATGCTCTGGTACAATAGAAGAGCGAGCATATTTACTTCAGAGGTATTTCGCCTGGGGCACTGGCACATGATCGTCATCGCAACTCAGTGGGGGGGTATGGGCGGGGGGTGGGATCAGGGAGGATGGGCGGCGAGATGCAGGGAGCAGCGGTGGCTAGGAGATGTTCACGAGCTCTCTTGGTATGCAGGAGGTCGTGGGTTCGATCCTGATTCTGACGATGCCTGCTGCTGTATACTTGGAGTTTGCATGTCTCTCTCATCATCATCACGGTGGCTGGGAGATGTTAACTACCTCGCCTGGTATGGAGGAGTTCATGGGTTCGATCCCGACACTGACGATGCCTGCTGCTGTATATTTGGAGTTTGTGGTATCTCTCTCTCTCATCATCATCACCACGGTGGATAGATGTTAACTACCTCGCCTGGTATACAGGAGGTCGTGGGTTCGATCCCGACCCTGACGATGCCTGCTGCTGCTGTATATTTGTAGTTTGCGTGTGTCTCTCGCTTCCCGTGATCGCACGGATATTTTTTTTCCTCCGGGTCCTCCAGTGCTTCCCCTCCACGTTTAGACTCGACGTCATGCGTTTAGAGTATTTGGCTGCTGCTATGAATTTCATAATCAGAATATGTATTTATAGTGGAGGAATCCGATGAACCTATGAAGCGCTATTTCACACATCTACAATAGGTGCATGGGGTCAAAAAGTAACAAATTCCACGTGATAAGCCACTTCGTTGAGCTATCATTTGTGATGGTGAGGTCACTTATAAAAAAGAGCTCTATGCAGCGAACCCCTCTTAACGAGCACCCTGTTAACGACGAATCCCTTAACGACGTGCCTCCATGGAGCCCAATGTGTAGTGTAGTTTATAGGAGTGTAGTGTATAGTGTAGTGTATCGTAGTGTAGTGTATAGTAGTGTAGTGTATAGTAGTGTAGTGTATAGTGTAGTGTATAGTGTAGTGTATAGTGTAGTGTATAGTGTAGTGTATAGTGTAGTGTATCGTAGTGTAGTGTGTAGTAGTGTATAGTAGTGTAGTGTATAGTGTAGTGTATAGTGTAGTGTATCGTAGTGTAGTGTATAGTGTAGTGTATAGTGTAGTGTATAGTGTAGTGTATCGTAGTGTAGTGTAGTAGTGTAGTAGTGTAGTGTATAGTGTAGTGTATAGTAGTGTAGTGTATCGTAGTGTAGTGTATCGTAGTGTAGTGTATAGTGTAGTGTTATCGTAGTGTAGTGTATAGTGTAGTGTATAGTGTAGTGTATAGTGTAGTGTAGTGTGTAGTAGTGTATAGTAGTGTAGTGTATAGTGTAGTGTATAGTGTAGTGTATCGTAGTGTAGTGTATAGTGTAGTGTATCGTAGTGTAGTGTATAGTGTAGTGTATAGTGTAGTGTATCGTAGTGTAGTGTATAGTGTAGTGTATAGTGTAGTGTATCGTAGTGTAGTGTGTTAGTAGGTAGTAGTATAGTGTAGTGTATAGTGTAGTGTATAGTGTAGTGTATAGTGTAGGTATAGTGTAGTGTATCGTAGTGTAGTGTATAGTGTAGTGTATCGTAGTGTAGTGTATAGTGTAGTGTATAGTGTAGTGTATCTTAGTGTAGTGTGTAGTAGTGTATAGTAGTGTAGTGTATAGTGTAGTGTATAGTGTAGTGTATAGTGTAGTGTATCGTAGTGTAGTGTATAGTGTAGTGTATCGTAGTGTAGTGTATAGTGTAGTGTATCGTAGTGTAGGGTATAGTGTAGTGTATCGTAGTGTAGTGTATAGTAGTGTAGTGTATAGTAGTGTAGTGTATAGTGTAGTGTATAGTAGTGGTGTATAGTATATAGTGTAGTGTATAGTGTAGTGTATAGTAGTGGTGTATAGTGTAGTGTATACTGTAGTGTATCGTAGTGTAGGGTATAGTGTAGTGTATCGTAGTGTAGTGTATAGTAGTGTAGTGTATAGTAGTGTAGTGTATAGTGTAGTGTATAGTAGTGGTGTATAGTATATAGTGTAGTGTATAGTGTAGTGTATAGTAGTGGTGTATAGTGTAGTGTATACTGTAGTGTATAGTAGTGTAGTGTATAGTGTAGTGGATAGTGGTGTAGTGTATAGTAGTGTAGTGTATAGTAGTGTAGTGTATAGTGTAGTGTATAGTAGTGTAGTGTATAGTATATAGTGTAGTGTATAGTGTAGTGTATAGTAGTGGTGTATAGTGTAGTGTATACTGTAGTGTATAGTAGTGTAGTGTATAGTGTAGTGGATAGTGGTGTAGTGCCCCCATAGAGCCCAATGTGTTCGCTTACAGACCATTCCCCTGTTAACGACGGGCTGTTGTAGGTACAGTAAATATGAATTAATGCATCGATTAACCACGTTTATTTTAATAGAATGTGTTTATAATGTTGCTAGTATCTTTATCTATTAATATCCATTGCTTAAATAATATAAACTACGTTTTTCTGGGTGAAAAATGGGTCACTTTCGATGCTATCGGAACGAATTAAGCCTTTAACGCGTATTTCCTATGCTCGCTTAACGACCAAGTCGCTTAACGACCGGTATCGTGGAACCAATTACCGTCGTTAAGAGGGGGTTCTCTACTGTATAGCTCGGCGAGCCTTTACCTGATAACAAAAATTACATAAAATAAAGTTTAACTTTCAATAGCTCATAGTTTGTGTCCCCGCAGTGCCAACCACGATACGCCCACCAGGCTCCACTAGCCAGCCGGCGGGGCAGGCCATCAAGCGGGTGGAGCGAGACCCGGGGAACGCTTCTCTTACGCGATCAACATCTGCGTGCCACAAGGCCGTGCTGGCGTTGCCACGATAGGGGTACGGGGGGCGGGGGGCGGGGGGCGAGGGGGGTACACCGGGGGGGGGAGGGCAATAACCGCGGACGTGTCACAGCGGAGGAGGAAACCGGGCGCAGGGAATTTGCCGAGGCGTTGAGGGAAATTGCCGCGGAATTTATCCAGCAGTGGATAGATGACGGTCGGCGACGACATCGACGACGGAGGAGAGGGGGGGGCGACCTCACCGTCACGGCGATGCAGCTGCTGTCCACCTTCCACGCCGCTCGCTCGTACGCGCCCAGCTGAGCGAGCGCCTTGAGGGACGAGCGCCGGCTCACGACCAACACGCTGGGCTGAGGGGGCAAGGGGGGCACGTGGCGGGGACGGGAAGGAGAGCAACGTCGTTAGGGACATCAGCAGACAATATCGGCAGACAATAGGGCGCCACGGTGGCGAGATGTTAACTACCTCGCCTGGTATGCAGGAGGTTGTGGTTACGATCGCAACCGTGCCTCCTGCAGTATATTCGGAGTGTGTCTCTCTCTCTCTCCCCGTGGTCACGTGGATTTTTCTCCGGCTCCTCCGATTTTCCCTCCACGTTTAGAATCAACGTCACGCACTTACAGTATTTGTCTGCTGTAATTTTTCACTCGATATGCCACTTTATTGAGCTATCATTTGTGATAGCCAAGTCACTTACGAAAAAAGAAGTTTAAGTTTAGTTTATATCGACGTGGCGCAACAATATTGTACCGGACCAGATGTGACCCACGATGTCATCTGAAACTTTTAACCAAGTTCCAGGGTATCATGAACCCCACAAGACAAGAGAAACCCCCCTGTGAACAGGACCACCATGAACCCCACAAGGGACCCCCCCCCCTGTGAACACGACCACCATGAACCCCACAAGGGACCCCCCCCCCCTGTGAACACGACCACCATGAACCCCACAAGGGACCCCCCCCCCCTGTGAACACGACCACCATGAACCCCACAAGAGACCCCCCCTGTGAACACGACCACCATGAACCCCACAAGAGACCCCCCCTGTGAACACGACCACCATGAACCCCACAAGGGACCCCCCCTGTGAACACGACCACCATGAACCCCACAAGGGACCCCCCCTGTGAACACGACCACCATGAACCCCACAAGGGACCCCCCCCCTGTGAACACGACCACCATGAACCCCACAAGGGACCCCCCCCCCTGTGAACACGACCACCATGAACCCCACAAGGGACCCCCCCCCCTGTGAACACGACCACCATGAACCCCACAAGGGACCCCCCCCCTGTGAACACGACCACCATGAACCCCACAAGGGACCCCCCCCTGTGAACACGACCACCATGAACCCCACAAGGGACCCCCCCCCCTGTGAACACGACCACCATGAACCCCACAAGGGACCCCCCCCCTGTGAACACGACCACCATGAACCCCACAAGGGACCCCCCCCCCTGTGAACACGACCACCATGAACCCCACAAGGGACCCCCCCCCTGTGAACACGACCACCATGAACCCCACAAGGGACCCCCCCCCCCTGTGAACACGACCACCATGAACCCCACAAGGGACCCCCCCTGTGAACACTACCACCATGAACCCCACAAGGGACCCCCCCCTGTGAACACGACCACCATGAACCCCACAAGAGACCCCCCCCTGTGAACACGACCACCATGAACCCCACAAGGGACCCCCCCTGTGAACACTACCACCATGAACCCCACAAGGGACCCCCCCCTGTGAACACCACCATCATGAACCCCACAAGAGACCCCCCCCCCGTGAACACGACCACCATGAACCCCACAAGAGACCCCCCCCCTGTGAACACCACCACCATGAACCCCACAAGAGACCCCCCCCCTGTGAACACGACCACCATGAACCCCACAAGGGACCCCCCCCCCTGTGAACACGACCACCATGAACCCCACAAGGGACCCCCCCCCTGTGAACACGACCACCATGAACCCCACAAGGGACCCCCCCTGTGAACACTACCACCATGAACCCCACAAGGGACCCCCCCCTGTGAACACGACCACCATGAACCCCACAAGAGACCCCCCCCCTGTGAACACGACCACCATGAACCCCACAAGGGACCCCCCCTGTGAACACTACCACCATGAACCCCACAAGGGACCCCCCCCCTGTGAACACCACCATCATGAACCCCACAAGAGACCCCCCCCCTGTGAACACGACCACCATGAACCCCACAAGGGACCCCCCCCCGTGAACACGACCACCATGAACCCCCCAAGAGACCCCCCCCCCCTGTGAACACCACCACCATGAACCCCACAGAAGACCCCCCCCCTGTGAACACCACCATCATGAACCCCACAAGAGACCCCCCCCCTGTGAAGACGACCACCATGAACCCCACAAGGGACCCCCCCCCGTGAACACGACCACCATGAACCCCACAAGAGACCCCCCCCCTGTGAACACCACCACCATGAACCCCACAAGAGACCACCCCCCTGTGAACACCACCATCATGAACCCCACAAGGGACCCCCCCCCCCTGTGAACACCACCACCATGAACCCCACAAGGGACCCCCCCCCCCTGTGAACACGACCACCATGAACCCCACAAGGGACCCCCCCCCCTGTGAACACGACCATCATGAACCCCACAAGGGACCCCCCCCCTGTGAACACCACCATCATGAACCCCACAAGGGACCCCCCCCCGTGAACACGACCACCATGAACCCCACAAGAGACCCCCCCCCCTGTGAACACCACCACCATGAACCCCACAAGAGACCCCCCCCCTGTGAACACCACCATCATGAACCCCACAAGGGACCCCCCCCCCTGTGAACACCACCACCATGAACCCCACAAGGGACCCCCCCCCCTGTGAACACGACCACCATGAACCCCACAAGGGACCCCCCCCTGTGAACACGACCATCATGAACCCCACAAGGGACCCCCCCCCTGTGAACACGACCACCATGAACCCCACAAGGGACCCCCCCCCCGTGAACACGACCACCATGAACCCCACAAGAGACCCCCCCCCTGTGAACACCACCACCATGAACCCCACAAGAGACCCCCCCCCCTGTGAACACCACCATCATGAACCCCACAAGGGACCCCCCCCCCCCTGTGAACACCACCACCATGAACCCCACAAGGGACCCCCCCCCCCCTGTGAACACGACCACCATGAACCCCACAAGGGACCCCCCCCTGTGAACACGACCATCATGAACCCCACAAGGGACCCCCCCCCTGTGAACACCACCATCATGAACCCCACAAGGGACCCCCCCCCCTGTAAACACGACCATCATGAACCCCACAAGGGACCCCCCCCCCCCTGTGAACACCACCCCCATGACCCCCACAAGAAACCCCCCCCCCCTGTGAACACGACCACCATGAACCCCACAAGGGACCCCCCCCCCCTGTGAACACGACCATCATGAACCCCACAAGGGACCCCCCCCTGTGAACACGACCACCATGAACCCCACAAGGGACCCCCCCCCCCTGTGAACAAGGGACCCCCCCCCTGTGAACACGACCACCATGAACCCCACAAGGGACCCCCCCCCCCCCCTGTGAACACGACCACCATGAACCCCACAAGGGACCCCCCCCCCCCTGTGAACACGACCATCATGAACCCCACAAGAGACCCCCCCCCCCTGTGAACACGACCACCATGAACCCCACAAGGGACCCCCCCCCCCCTGTGAACACGACCACCCACCATGAACCCCACAAGGGACCCCCCCCCCCTGTGAACACGACCACCATGAACCCCACAAGGGACCCCCCCCCCCTGTGAACACGACCACCATGAACCCCACAAGAGACCCCCCCCCTGTGAACACGACCATCATGAACCCCACAAGGGACCCCCCCCCCCTGTGAACACCACCACCATGAACCCCACAAGGGACCCCCCCCCCCCCTGTGAACACGACCATCATGAACCCCACAAGGGACCCCCCCCCCCCGTGAACACGACCACCATGAACCCCACAAGGGACCCCCCCCCTGTGAACACGACCATCATGAACCCCACAAGGGACCCCCCCCCTGTGAACACCACCACCATGAACCCCACAAGAGACCCCCCCCCTGTGAACACGACCACCATGAACCCCACAAGGGACCCCCCCCCCTGTGAACACCACCACCATGAACCCCACAAGAGACCCCCCCCCTGTGAACACCACCACCATGAACCCCACAAGGGACCCCCCCCCTGTGAACACGACCACCATGAACCCCACAAGAGACCCCCCCCCCTGTGAACACGACCACCATGAACCCCACAAGAGACCCCCCCCCCCCTGTGAACACGACCATCATGAACCCCACAAGGGACCCCCCCCCTGTGAACACGACCATCATGAACCCCACAAGGGACCCCCCCCCCCTGTGAACACGACCATCATGAACCCCACAAGGGACCCCCCCCCCTGTGAACACGACCACCATGAACCCCACAAGAGACCCCCCCCTGTGAACACGACCACCATGAACCCCACAAGGGACCCCCCCTGTGAACACGACCACCATGAACCCCACAAGGGACCCCCCCCCCTGTGAACACGACCATCATGAACCCCACAAGAGACCCCCCCCCCCTGTGAACACCACCACCATGAACCCCACAAGAGCCCCCCCCCCTGTGAACACGACCACCATGAACCCCACAAGAGACCCCCCCCCTGTGAACACGACCATCATGAACCCCACAAGAGACCCCCCCCCCCTGTGAACACGACCACCATGAACCCCACAAGAGACCCCCCCCCCCTGTGAACACCACCACCATGAACCCCACAAGGGACCCCCCCCCCTGTGAACACCACCACCATGAACCCCACAAGGGACCCCCCCCCCTGTGAACACGACCATCATGAACCCCACAAGAGACCCCCCCCCCTGTGAACACGACCATCATGAACCCCACAAGGGACCCCCCCCCCTGTGAACACGACCACCATGAACCCCACAAGGGACCCCCCCCCCTGTGAACACGACCATCATGAACCCCACAAGGGACCCCCCCCCCCTGTGAACACCACCACCATGAACCCCACAAGGGACCCCCCCCCCCTGTGAACACGACCATCATGAACCCCACAAGAGACCCCCCCCTGTGAACACCACCACCATGAACCCCACAAGGGCCCCCCCCCCCTGTGAACACGACCACCATGAACCCCACAAGAGACCCCCCCTGTGAACACGACCATCATGAACCCCACAAGGGACCCCCTCCCTGTGAACACGACCATCATGAACCCCACAAGAGACCCCCCCCCTGTGAACACCACCACCATGAA